TATTTATATTAGATTAAAAATTTATAGAAAATTAATATTTTGTAAGAAAGAATTTGAAATAAAAATGAATATATTGAAATATATTTTTAATAGGAAAATACAAATAAATCTATTTTTATGATTAATTATTCATTAGTAAAAAGATCAAAAATTGAAATATAATATGTGAGAAATCAGGGATAAAGATTGTTTCGCTTGTGTTGGATGAATATTACAGTAAAACTTACATCGATCGATACAATTCATCGATTTAATATTAGACCACGTATTTCGTTCAACGTATCGAGCTTTACGATCTTCTTTTTATGGCATAGTCTCTATTCGTGCGAACTCACGATTTTGCCCCAAAGTCGTTGGATATTTTCTTGGTACCGTTTCGATGTATGGTATATATTATATATAGTTATATTGCTTGTGTTTCGTTACACACAACGTTATACTAAGCTTTTCTTTCCTTCCGTCTTTTTGGCCATTCTTTCTTTCACGAATATTCCTTCCACTTTTCTCGAAACTTAAACACGTTCAATTTGTACGTGTAAGGTTCTATCCTACAGGGTGTTTTATTTTAAATCGTATAGATTTTGTTTTAATTATAACAAATATTTTATTTTAATAATATTTCAAAATATAATGAAAATTATATAAACTATATCATTTTGTAAATTTATTTGTTTTATCTAAATACATCCAAACGAATTTAAATTAATATTCTAAACTTTGTTGACCATCGTTAAAACAATAATTGATATTTTTTGATAATATTCTTTCACAAAATTTTAATTATATTATATAAAAAAGAAAAAATATGTAACATATATAGGAAATATTTAAAATTATCAGACGAAATAGTACACTGTGTATAATCACGCGAGTGCAAACAACAACGTTGAAACATCAACGATAAATTGGATTTTGAAATGACCTGTACGTGGGGGGTATTCAACTATACACCATATTGTCCGAGGTAAAACATAAATTGAAGCTTCTCTTTCTCTCTGCGATTTACGAAAGTTTTATTATTATTCTTTTAAAATCTTTCCACCATTAAACTATCAATTTTGGGATACTAAGCCAGTCATATTTATTATCCTACTTAATGAATTACGAATATTATGACATTTTTTAAATGTTTCACATATATTCTCACAATTATTTTAATTATATATATTTAAATTTGATAAGAAAAATATTTAAAGAAATGTATAAATAATTAATCCGTGTCACGTTGTAACATACTCTATTTCCTATCTCTTTTCTACGAAGTAGAAACTATCGTAAAATAACCGATCAAAAGGTCAAAAGAGAAAATATCTTTTTTAACGTACGACTAGAGAATTTTATCGAAGTGTCATTCGTTAACGTCAAAACTTAATACGTTTTTCGATGGAAGCAATAACTCCGCTCATTATCCGTAGGTACATTCTCTTCCCCGTTTAAAAGTAAAAAAAAAAAGAAGAAAAAAAAAGGAACGTCTATCTTATTTTCGATCTTCCGTAATTTAAAATTAAATCTCGAGTAACTGGTAATATCCTTGTGATATAAGGTATCGATTGAAATGAAAATTAATCATCTAATCATCTAAGATGTTACTTGAAATATATTTCTATTTTATACAAGAACGAACAAATATAATATATATATATATATATTTATTTTTATATATGTATTATTATATATTTTTATATATAATAAATAAATAATTTTTATATATTTTATTATATATATTTTTATATTTAATAAAGAAAAGGAAAAAAAAAAGCAATTTAATTAAAATCTTATCGAATCATACTTTTCCATTAAGGAAACTATACAAAAAATATGTTGAAAGTGTAACATTAAAAATGATTAATTATTAATTTAATTAGATTAATTTTTTGTTTGGTAATATTTCAATCCGTTTGAAGAAAATTTAACAAAAGAAAATAATGAATAAGAGAGCCTATAATTAAATTAAATTAAATTTGATAAAAAATGCAACAAGTATGGTATAACATTCTGGAATGATTTTCAATGGGAATCTGGAAAGATAGTAGATAACAGATAGGAGATAACATTAACATAGGTTCGTTGAGGGAGGTGAGGAGAAATCGACAGTATTATGCGATCAATTCCCAATCCTATTTACGAGGATAATACAGATGGACGTTCGTACACCACTTTGTATCCTCGTATTATTAATAATTAACAGAATTTACGCATGGTCATTTGATGTGTCATTTCATTACGAGGGATTACAATTTCTCACCGAAGCGCATAATTTTGAGACTAACTAAACGTATCGTTCGTAATCAGTTTACATATTCTTCGAATATGATATTCCTTACGCATTATCAAGAAAACTAATTACATATTAAAAAAAAAAACACATTTATTTTTTATTATTTTTATTATTATTATAAGAATTAATTATATCTTTATTTTAATATCATAAGTATAATGTATAAACATATTAAGAATGTTATTTTGTATATTTATTAATTTATTAATTCTCTCTCTTGATTATGATATTGAATTATTTTTATTTTTATAATTATCAATTATAATATTTCAATATAGTAATATAAGATAATTTAAATATTTTTATTATTTTATTATGAAATATATACTTTATATTTAATATAAAAATCAATTAAATCTATTCACTTTTAGTATAAAAAATATTTACCCGAACTTTTCAAAGAAATTGCAAAAGATGCACAATTTACAGTATTGCATTTTCTGACATTTTCTGAATTTTACATGTTAAATTTATAACTCGATATGGTATTCTACGCCTAGACAAAAGAATGTACTTTAATTTAATATAAATTTTATTAAAATCTATTCACTTTTAGTATACGAAATATTTACTGAAACTTTTCAAAGAAATTGCACAGATGCACTATTTACAGTATTGCATTCTCTGACATTTTATGAACCTTTGCAGATCAATTAATATCTCAAAAATACTAAGTGCTATTTAAAAAAATAAAGGTACCCTTTAAAAAACATTAACAAACAATTTTTTTCGACCTTATTTTTTATTGCAATGTATAGTTAATAAAAAACAGATCAACTTTTGTTTTAAAGTATTTCTTTTTATCAGATTATTGCAAGTACTTGAAAAATCGTGTCAAGTGTTATGCGAGACACCCTGTATATATACACAGATATAAAATAAGAAGACCAATCGAGCGATCTTTCGTAGGAGTTTGAAAAATAGTAAAAGATCGATCGTACCGGAAGTCGATCCCCGTCGTTCGTCGTTGGAAGATATTTTTAATATCCGGCCAAAGCCTCTTCTTCTGTCTCCCAATCCGTATCAGAAAGTCTGCCTGGTGCACGTTGAGGAAGTGGTTAGGGGATGAAAGGATACGTCCACGAGGGAAATGATTTTCGTATTGAAATCACGGGAAAATATGGAAAAAGAGTTGGATAAACGTGTCGAATGTTTTCCGATTTCTTTTTCCTACTTTCTTTTCTTTTTTCTTTTTCCTTTTCTCCCTCTCTCTCTCTCTCTCTATTTCTTTTTTTACCTTTCATAATTTTGTCACATTTTTTATGACTTGTTATACGTCAGTAATCTCTAATTTTGTTTTTTTTATATATATATATATATTCACGATACATTTTTCTTTTCGTTATTTTTTTCTTTGCAAATAAATAAATATATAGAAAATTTAAGTTTAGT